TCTTCTTACACTGGTGAGGTAAATAACACCTCACTGCTTGGTAGATGTCTGCAGTCCTCTGCTTGGGAATCTGACCTTTTTGATTAGTGCAGGGTGTACAGGACAACTTTTAAAGCTCTGTGAATTGTGTGCTACCAGTTGCTGAAATTAGATAGTTGCAGTTTGGAAGTAAGCAGACTCCAGCTTCACTCTGCTGGAAAAGAAACAAAAGGACTGTCGTTATCTAGCTGTCTTCCGCAGGTAGTCAGGCAACTAAAGTCATCATTTATATTTTGTCAGGAGTACTCACCAAATTTATTGACTTGCACATTATTCTCTGCAAATAACTTCTAGCTGCTCTCTTCATATTATAATTAAAACGGCAAGGACTTTAATAATTTATGAAATTTTAAACTACATACTGAATATAAATGTATCATTCAATGTGATAGAACGAATTAAATTCATCATTGTCAAATAAATGTATGAAAGATGAAATATCTCTCATCCCACATCATTATCCAATAAAAAGTCTGTTTTCCAAGACTGTAGTATAGCATATGGTTCATATCATCTTTAGTGCATTTCCAGCAGATGAAAGAATTTCAAAATACCTTTAAGAAGTACATTTTTCAAGGATTGCATGTTTAATAACACCTAGCTTAGACCTCAAAAATGTTAAATGTTAAAAATGTAAAATCTGACCACAAGGAAGCACTTGCTCTTCATTAGTACTGAGTGGTGTCACCTAACGTGCGAGTTGTGTACAGCATTTCTTTCATTACCTAATGAAGAGGTTTCTGACAGTCCCATGGCTTTTATGTACAAAAGAGATGGGCTGCTCTTCGCCTTTTGCTCTGCTGTCCCATTGAAACTATGTCCTAACACAGAATTTATGAAGCTGTTGGAAGTAGAGGACAGATTTGGCTTGAGAGGAACTCCAGCATTAGTGATGGAAAAGAGGACCTGGTACTGCAGCTCCCACACAGTCAAAGTGCTGTGACACTGAGCAAAACATCTGTCTCTAAGAGTAGTCTCCTCTGCCTTCTCTTGATTTTATGTGGTCATAAGATTTGGAAGTGACTCTAGAGATCATTCCATGAGGTCATGCTTTCTTCAGAAAGAATCAATATTGGGAATAAAATATTGTAAAATATCTCATTTGTCTCATGGAGCTGCCCTGAAAAAAAACTTCATCCAGCTTCTATTTGCCCTTCCACATTTTCACAAAAACAGCTGAAGACCAAACACAGGAAAACTCTTTCTAAAGACATGACTGATACCTATCCTTTTTGAAACTGTTATCCTGTCCTGAAACTTTTCCTTTCTCAACAACTTATATCCATATTTTTTCTTGGAATCAGTTTATTGTTCTGCATCTGATTCCCATAAACTCCTGTGAGTGCCTCCTGTCTTCTCGGTTTTCCCAGTGACTCCGGCAAATCATCTTGTCATTACAGATAAACAAGAGAGGAGTTTCATTCTTGAAAACTGAAGCAGCAGTTCTGGAGTCTTGTGCTCAGAAAGTGTATAAAGTGCCAATACCAGAGAGCTTCTCCCTATATCACCATCCTTTGGTGGGTGGGCAATTCTCTTGAGTAGATGGACTGTGACAGACTCATTTTTTTCAGTCAATTACTTATAGATTAAAGCTTTTGCATGCTGGACACTTATCTTTATAGAGGAGCTCATGCTGTATAGATCATTGAACAGTCATCAGATGGTGTATTTTGGACTTCTGTTTGAAACATCAAATTGCCAAAATGATTCTGCAGAGGGGGCTGGATCCAGTCTCAGTTCATTACAGATGTAGATTGTATTAAAATCACTGACCTACAATTTATTCTGAGTTGACAAATACTTAAATTAATGAAGCAATCACTGTCTTGAAAGACTCCAACAATATATTCTGAATTCAGAGTTAATATGCCAGCAGAAAGAAATTAACAAAATAGAATGTATTTAATGTTTCTCATTTGTGTTAGAGACATCACCCTCCTTTTTCACAACTAGTATAAATTAGATGCTTTTTCACAGTATGTATTATTTGTATAGCATTTGGCCATATATCAGGATGAAATACAGTTCTCTAATTAGCTTCTTCCACGTACTTACAGTTACCCCAGGCTGCTGATCACCCATATGAAAGCAAATGTGGCCCTGGTGATTGTTTGTACATGCAATTGGACAGCCATGGTAAAAATCTTTCTAAAGCTTTCTTGTGGCTCCCAACCACAGTGTGAGCAGTAATTGTCAGAGACAATTCACAAGAACAGGCAGTTTGCTTGTTTTGGTGAAGCACACATAGTGAAAAAAGACATTTTAGGCCTGATCATATCTTTCTAATAGCTTTATGATGGGTTTCCTTTATATGGAAGGATTTTATTAGGTCAGAAATACAATTTTCATGAAAATTCTCAAAATAAAAAAAGAGTGGAAGTAAAGTACATTTGCTAAACCTTACAATTCCTTTTCTCTTACTTCCTAGTATCGCTTCAAAGACTAGAAGGTGATGTTGTATTCCTTCGTGTGCTGTTTAAAGTCAGGAGCAGCAATATTTAGCACATGCTTGGGCAACCGTGTTTGAAATCCATGTTTCCTCTCTCTGGTGTTCTGATGTGCCTTTAGGGGATGCTTGCCTGTTTGTAGTTTGTTTTCTTTTGTTTAAGGTTTCAGCTACTGCATTGACTAATGATTATATAGCAGTAAACTCTCGTCCCTGCTAAATTCAGAGGTAATGCCTCAAAAGCATTTTTCCCCTGTGTGACATAAAACAATAAAAGAACTAGACAATCCCCTTTTGAGGAAGAATAATCCTTTGTTTAAAGAAAAAAAAAAACACAAGCATCTTCTTGATGCCAGAGGGTGTAAAATTCAAATCAAAGATTAAGCTAATTGATAAAAACAAAACAAATGTCTCACAGTATAATGCTCTTTAGGCAGACCTAACATTTTTTGCATTAACAAGTCTCCAATATTAATCACCTCTGCTGTTTGGTATTATGTTACAATTGGTTTTGAACTGTGCAATATCCATTCAATACAGAGGTAACATGGGACATACCGAATTTGAATTTCATCTCACTTGTAACTCTAAAGTAAATTTCTGTCCTTCAGTAATGTCACCTCAGTAGAGAACTGATGGGACCTTGGAATTCAGAGATGAAAATCAACTCATTGCTAATATAATTTACCTGTGTAGTTTCCTATATTTAATATAATAAATTATAAATCTATAATTTTAAGAGGATTTGGGAAAAAACCCTTACGTTTTCTCACTGAGGCATTAATTTCTACATTCAGCTAACCTATTGAAGATTTTAAAGAAAAATTCTAATTTTTCTGATTAGTCAGTCATTTAAAGAGAAAAAAAAAGAGAAAGAAAGAAGTTAACGTGCTGTTTAATTACATACTGCCAGGATCCTCTGAGCCTTTCTATAATGTGTGATAAATTCAGCACTGCCAATTTAGGTCTGTTGTTTGCCTAAAATATTAGCAAATAACTATGAATGAAAAGTTGGTTCAATTTGGAAGAAAACCTCACAGCTAAGAGGAGAAAGTGAAATGTGGTTAAACTACCATTTCAGCCACAGTCTGCAATTGTTGAATATGTTTGTGTTGAACATTTTTTTTTCATTAGTAGGAGTTTAAGAGCAATAATTATTCACAGCTTCCTTTTTATCTAAGTAATACCAGAGGTATCAGAGATCAGTTTTGTATTTAGCTTTCAGCAGACTTTTTTTTTTCTGTTTCTATTTTTTTCCTACTGCCTGTACTTCCAGGCTTGCAGTCAGTTACTAGCATAAAACTGAAGGGACATTTAGCCCCTGATACAAGTGCTATTGCTGACATGTCTAAATAAATATAGAGTAGTTATAGACTAGATATCCAGGATTGCAGTCTGTCACATCTTTCTTATTTAGCTTGGTTTGTGGAAGTGGCATCATGGCCACTCTGGTAAAAATGCACCCTAACAAAAGCTAGAGAGTTTCTGTTTGTAGGCTGCAGCCTAGTCTGCTGTTTTGCGATTGATTATGTCCTGAGTTGGCAATGAACACAAATACAATGACTGGGTTGAGTCTCATGATAATTTGAACCACTACGTAAGCCTAATCCAAAAGACAGACCAGAAACCAGTCAAAATTGGGCACCAAAAGCAGATATTCCCAGTTTGAGCATAATGTTTAGCCTTGTTCACAGCGAAACAAAATGAACTGCTTCAGACACAGGTGCAAAATTACAGCACTGCTATGGGCAAAAGCAGTGTGTGCAGCCTAAAACCATGCCTTCCCTGACTGCTTTCAGCATATAAACCCTGCCCTCAGTGGGAGCACCTGTGTCAGGACCAATGAGGAAAATAGATGCATGTTGCAAACACCCTCTGGTGTTTGTTACTCAGTATGAGCATCACCCAGATTGACCCAAACATGCAAGAATGACTGACCACAAAGTTACTTAAGAAGAATTGCCTTATGTCCATTAGCCTAATGTTTTGTGGGGAGACTGAAGTCTATAAAAATGTTCAAATTCATAGAAATTAGGCATCAAAGCTGCCACTATATTCTCTCTGCAACGAGTTTTTAACATTTTGGAGATTTGCAAAACCACTTACTCCACAAAGGTATAAAATATAGCACTTAATGGCAATGGTACATTTACTCAAGTGCATTAGATAGTTCTTCCTTCTCCTTCTCTTCCTGCTTGATTGGCAGCCAGAGATCCTGGATGCAGCACTATAGAAGATATTGTTTATAGCCAAAGCAGCAGGATCTGGCACCAGAGAGGACTCCACAGGCATTTGTATTGATGGTGCCTTTGCAGTTGCCTCTGGGTCTTTCATGTGGCTGGGCTGATGAAAGCTATCTGGGCAGTTATATGCTCTTGGAAACCATTTCTTTTTCCACTGACATTTTAAATGCTTGTGGTGATTAAGTGTTCGTGTGTAGAGAATTTTAAATCCTGCACCACAGTGAGTCACTGCAGAGGCCGCTGGCACATGGTGTACATCTATATTTCTCTTTTCTGCCTAAAATCCCTTTCCTGTATTGGTTCAAACATTTGTTTAACTTCATTTGGACATGTTTGTGGTGCAGCTCAGAGGAAAGAAATTTGAGGCTCTATGTACAGAGTGAGGTGAGGTGTTAGTCCTGGCTTTAGGTCCTCTTCCCTGAAACAGCTTGGGGGGCTCCATTCTGCACATCTCAAGATCCAGGAAGCTGGTTGCACATTTTGTAGCAGATAAGGAAAGTTGTGGATAGGCCCTGGGGTTTTTTTTCTCAGCCTCTGCCTGTATCTTGTTCCACAGAGAGCTGAGTAAGGGGAGAAAAGGGTAGTTCCTGGACCCACAATGGTGTTCCATTGGATAGTCCATCCAAACGGCTGGCAACACGCTGCTTCGTGGAGTTATTTGAGATTCTCTGCAGATTCAGGCATATGAATTGTCTTAGACAAAAAGCACAAGGGATTCACACATTTGGAAGAAAAAAAAAAAACAGATCCATAGCTCTGGGGGTCATTACTCTTCACAGCAGCAGGAGTTCCAGCCTGTGTTGTACCTTTGATCTCAATGAATGTATTCCTCTGCTTTAGTGTTAATATAGGTGTAAGTTTGTGTGGGATTGAAGAGTATAACTGTTGAATGAAATGGTCAGCAAGTAAAGCAATGTCATATAAACCAAATGTTTTGCTCTTCATTAGACAAAATTTTTTTCTTTGATTGTATTCTAAAAGATTAGTTCAATAATTTACATATTCTAGGACTGTTACAGAAGGAACGACCAAATCTCTACTCTACAGTTTTTTCTTCAGATAAATATTTAGCTGATGTACACTGGATTTCATAGTCATGTGAGTTGAACTTCAGAGCAATATTTAGCCATATTTTCAGTTTTTCCCCAAGCAGTATCAAAACTATCAGAGACTTCAAAAGTCTAGAGATTTTCTCACAGAAGTGTAAGTTTTGTTTTGAAAGTATTTTACAAATTTACATTTTAATGTTAACTCATGTATCACTAAAATTAATTATGTTTAATGTTATTATTTATCTTTTTTATTTTTTACGGTTAAAAAATATTTTTATAAAACATAAAATATGTGAGTTCCCAAATCCACAAATCAAACTTTTAAAGTGGATAACCTGAAATTTTTTTAAAAGTTAAGATCCTGTAGCAAAACTGAGGAAAAGGTTTAAGAAAAAAAAAAAAGAAAAAGAAAAAAGAGAGGGGAGTTCCACACACTTGTGAACAACTGTTCCTCCATTAAAATCACCATTAGGTGTTCAAGACAAATGTTTCACTGTATGTTGCAGACTTCCATTAGCTATGAATAAACCTGGAAAAAATCCTGGTTTGCTGTATGTGGTAGATGGATTATGGCAAGCGTCTTGAATTCTTCCTGTAGACCTGCTGCTATCCTTCCATTTCACTGGAAACCAAAGCTGCTTCGCCTCCATTACAAGGGATATAATGAAAGGAAAAGGAGAGCGAAATATTGGCAGACAAACACATTGAGAAGAAAATACAGGGAAATCATATTTAATTATATAAATATTCTCCATACAGAATCACATTTTTGCAGGTCTTTTTGAACTTCAGGATGAGCAGAATTAAATGCAATTAAATTGCATGCTGTATACTGATCTACAAAGGTAGGTTTGGAGACTTGCAAGGGACAGATTTCTTTTACAAATATAGTAGTCATTTAGCTTGCTGACATTTTGTTACGTTCCCTCACCATTATTCCTTTTTAGAAGTGATTCTTTTCAAACTGAGCAGCTTCTCCATCTCTTAAACATTATGATGACATTTAACAGCAACAAACCAACTAACAAATTATTTTTTGTTAGGTTTTATTGGGACCCTTTTGCAAATTCCACTGAATCATTAAATCTTCAATACGTTGGATCAGGTTTTTCTTGTTTCAATTTGAACAGGACTCCTGCTGACTTCAGTGGGGATTCTGTCTGAGAAAAGTCTCACACTTTGGCTTAATTACTTACTAAAACTCAATCAATACCTTATAAATTAGTCTGATACCAAAATATCAACAGTATGACTCCCATGAAAGAGTTGTAGGAGAGAAAAAGCTTGATGAAAAAAGTCTGGATTCATCAAGCTCTTCTGTGGAAGTATATTGGGCCCAGTGATATCTTGCTTTGAAAAACAGGAGACATTATTTAATTTTAAAAAATCAGTAAAGTCTATTTAGGTTTTATCTGAAATACAGTCTTTATGTTTTGTTTGTTTCCACACTTTGTTTCATCACGTGTTGCATTTTATATTTTACCATTAATTTCTATTGTATTGTATTATCTGAAGGTTTTTATATTTTATTTTCTGTTTTAATAATTCTTAAATAATATAAACTATATAAAGTTATTCTTTTGAAAACAAAAGCTCTCACAACTTGTATAATTTCCTACCTCTCACTGTGGAAATTCCTGGGAAAATCAAAGCAATGAAACTTTATTTTTAAGCTGCTAATTTTAAGTTTAGTTTAGTTTAAGGTAAGTTTAAACTTTTAAATTTAAAGTTCAGACTTTCAATCAGGTATATTTTTATCTTGGATATGATGTCAATCCACCTAGACAGTGTAATCTGTCAAAGAAGAGGAGAGACCCAGAAAAAGCACTAAGACTTCAGAGCATTTCTTCAGCTGTCTGAGACATAATAAATAGCTCTTCTTATTGATATACCCTTTTGACTTTGCCTTTGTTTTTCCTTTGGTAGTAACACAGTCTAACTCCAAAGAAACTTCCACCATCCACCCAAACTATGATTTCTTGATTTTAAGTGGAACCCTTCAACCTGAGGAAATTAGGGTGGTTTTTTTTTTCTGTACTACTGAATATTTTGTTGGTATAACTCCATTTAAAGGTGGTGGAGATCTGAAAATTGCTGTATGGTTTTACTAGTTTCTACTGAATTAAGTGTAAGAGCTTCTCCTTGCTTGCAAATATATGACAGGTGTGGCTTTTCATGCTTCATGCAGATTTGAACTGTCTTTGAAGTTCTGTGTTCCATCAAGTACAGTGATACTGAAATTCAGTTATATATACATCTATTCTATCTGCAGGAAGACAGTGATGCCTCAGAGATTTGGATCCAGACAGGACAGAGATGTGTCTAAGTATTGTGTCTATTAGGTAACTCATGTGCTCCTTTAACAAATATCTGACTTTTTTAAACTTCAAATTTTAGCATCAGATGTTCAAAACCTACCTAGAACTTGTCAAACTCTACTTTTGTGTAAGTCAATGGAGTTTGGTCAAAGATTGCATATAGCCTTAGTTTAAGTGCTTCCTACTGTCATAGAAAGTACAACTGTATTACAAGCTGTGTAATATGTATTGTGTGAGTACTTCTAGGGGAAATGTGTATTGAGTATACACAGTATGATAACTCTTTTCAATAAAAAATCAAAGAATTACAGAATGAAATAATGGCTGAGGTTGGAAGGGACCTCTGGAGGTCATATAGTCCAAACACCCTGCTCAAGTCTGGTGTCTGGGACCATGTCCAGAACAGTCCTTGAATATGTCCAAGGATGGAGATGGCTCCACAGCCTCTCTGGGCAACCTGTGCCAGTGCTCAGTTACACTTACAATAAAAAAATGTTTCCTAATGTTCAGAGGGAACCTTCTGTGTTTTAGTTTCTACCCATTGCCTCTGGCTCTGTCACTGGGCACCACTGAGAAGAATCTGGCTCCATCCTCTATGTACCCTCCCTTCAGGTATTTATACATATTGATAAGATCCCCCCCACTGAGTTTTTTCTTCTCCAGGCTGAACAGTCACAGCTCTCCCAGCCTGTCCTCATAGGCAAGATGCTCCACTTCCTTCATCATCCCTGTGGCTCCTCATTGAACCCTCTCCAGTGTGTCCATGTCTGTCCTCTACAGAGGAACCCAAAACTGACCACAGCACTCAGGCATGGTCCCACCAGTGCCGAATAAAGGGGAAGGACCTGCTGGTACCACTTTTTCTAATGCAGTTAAGGATACAATTTACCTTTGCAGCAGGTACACGTTGCTGGCTCATATTCAACTTGGTGTCTAGGAGGAACTCCAGGTCATTTGTTTGCCAAGCAGCTTTCCAACAGCTATGTCTAATGTGGTATAGATAGATAGTTAATAACTTTTTTTGGTGGAAATACATTGTTTCCTAAGACACACTGTATCATAAAATATTGCCCTTGTAGTTTATTCTTAGTGAGTTCCTCATAAGATTAGAGTTAAGGACATTCTTGTTTCTGTCACTTGAAGTTTTGAAGATGTTACTCAGCTGTGGTGCAGTTCAATTCTTCTGTTCTTTCATATGAAGGGAATAATATGAAAAAAAGGGAGTCACTTCAAAATCCTAAAAAGAAAAAAAACCTGTCACACTGGTACATTATAGAAAGCTCAGGTATCATTACAGCTGATATGGTTAAACATGCTATCATTGGTCTATAGTCAACTAGGCTCCTGTTACAGACACGTTATTTCAAAGCAGTCCACTTCCAATGTACATGCAAGGCACTATCCAGATCTACTTTAGAAAGTTCATCTTTTATTAGTCATGACTAGTGAGCCATTTTATTTCAGCATTACAAAGAGCATTTCTGATCATGATTTCATTTATAGTTGATGAAAAAAGGTACAAGCTCAGTGTTAGAACCAACAATAAACAGTCTCAGCACAGGCATTTTCCTTTTCACTGATGTAAGACTGCTGTTTAGAACCAGGTTGCTGAATTGGGTGGATCTTTTTACATTCGTGAATATTCTGGTCATAAGTACTGACCACGTGATGTTAAACAGGGTGGTAAACAATGTGAAGTGTATACCAATTTAAAATTTTTATGATGTATTCAATTGAAAGGCAGGGTGAGCTGGCTGGGTCTAACCTTGTTTGGCTCATCTCTAATCTGAGGTTCATATGCTTACCTAATGAAACCTACAGATGACCCAAAAATGACTTTAAAGACATTATTTCAGATTCATCCCTTGTTTAGAAGGCTGAAACCTAATTCAGAAAAGTGCACTAGTTGAAGCCAATTAAGCTATATATTTTGAGGTTTTCCTGTCTAGATAACACCAAATGTATAAATGTACGTCTTTAAATAAACTTGTGAATATAGTTCTGAGATGCCCTTGAATCAAGATTATTCTTCTACCATGTTTTCTCTCCTTTTGCTGTTTTCTGACACTCTCACATGCATTTCTTGGATTTGCTGCAGTCAAATCAGAGTGAGTTGGGAAAAAGGAACTCAGTTTGTGTCTGTTGAACCAAATCTCGGTGTTGGGGAGAGTGAAGTGGGATGTCAGTGTGAGACAAGGAGAAGACCAGGACTCTATTTCTAATTCACAAACTTGATACTTCAGTGTCCAAACAGTCAGAGTCACAGAAGTAGAACTCATTTTGCCTAGCTTTAGCCACCTAAAATTGGTAGATCTAAGCCTGATCTCATCATTCTGGGCTTTATGGATTACTAATAAGGAGAAAAAACACCTTCAGAGAACAATTAACATCATTCTAAGTGGTAGACCTGAGCTGTCTGGATGTGCTTTTGGAAGTCGATTAACTTTTCCGTGATGATTTTAAAGTACCGTACATCACTGACTCAGACTTAAATATTCAAATTCTAGGCATCTAAACTGGGGGCAAATGAATCCTGGGGGCAGATGAATCCTGCTTGAAAAGTTCATCAGAAGTAGTTTTATTGTACATGACATGCTCACAACAACTATATACATATATATATATATTTATATATTTATATATATATCGGGTAAATTTGAAGGTCAGCTGGGTTTCTAAATGTATCTAACTATATATATATGATATATATAACATATTGGGTAAATTTGAAGGTCAGCTCAGTTTCTAAATGTATCTGACTTAGACAAATTCAGAGTGGCATATCATTCAATTTTGGGTCCCTGACTACAAGAAAGGCATTGAGGTGCTGGAGCAGGTCCAGAGAAGGACAGTGGAGCTGGAACACAAGTCTTATGAGGAGTGGCTGAGGGAACTAGGGTTGTTTAGCCTGGAAAAAAGGAGGCTCAGGGGAGACCTCATTGCTCTCTGCAACTACCTGAAGGGATGTTATAGCAAAATGGGTATTGGTCTCTTCTCCCAGATAACAAGCAACACGGTGAAAGGAAATGGACCCAGCATGTGCTAGGGAAGGTTTAGATTGGATATTAGGAAAAAACTCTTCATGGAAAGGGTTGTCAAACATTGGAATAGTCTGCCTAGGGAAGTGGATGAGTCACCATCCCTAGACATGTTTAAAAGACTTATAGATGTGGCACTTAGGGACATGGATTAGTGGTGATGGACTTGGCAGTGTCAGGTTTATGGTCAGACTGGATGATATTTAACGTCTTTTCCAGTATAAAGGATTCTATGAATTTTATGATCTTTGCTTCTGTAGCGTCTGCACATGCTGTATTTTAGACTATATCAGCTTTAGGAACAAGGCACCTAAAGTCTAGGTTCATACTAGCAGGCTCACTGGGTCAGGGACTCTTCTCTGATCCTTTAAGTAAATGGCACAGCACAGTTAGTTACCCTTATACGTAGTGGACGGATCCACAACAGATAGAGAGCAGTCTTCAGCTGGTGCTGTTCCCTGAATTGTGTTCAGGCATTGCATTGGGGGAACCATGCAATAACTATGCCATGAAGAACAGCAACATTTGTACAGCACTAGTGCTTGAGCCAGTGATCCAAACATCTACAATTTTCTGGCATATAGGCTCTGTTGTTTCCCAGATAGGTCCTATTGTATATGGACTCTGTTGTTTTCCCAGCAACTTGGAATTTCCTGAAATTTTGAAGGTCTAAGCATTGCATAAAAGAGAAGGGCAGAAGGGTTCCTTAATCTTCTTTCACAAGACTGAGGTTGGACACTTCTTTGGTATTCTCAAGTTGCAGATGAAAGAGCTGTAAGTCCCCAGATCCTCAGCAAAGCTGTAGCTGTTTTAACTATGTTCATTCGTGATGCTCTAATGGGGTTTGATTTCTCAGTTGAGAAAAGGAATGATTGATTGCATTCCTCTGTGTTCCTTCTTTAAGTATAAACTCAGGAAACTCTCTCCTGGTTCTTCAAACCATTAGTATTTTACAGTCATTGGCCCTTTCAGAGAGGAAGCGAACACCCTGGTTGCTGGTGACCTGGCAGTTCTTTGAGTATCATGGTGCTTTGGTTCTTCAACCCTGTGCAAAATAGCCCAGCTGTAGCAGTGTTCACTCAATGCAATCACATCCCTCTTTCTTTCTTTTGCAAGCTTCTCTCTGTTCATACAAATACTGATTTTCAATACCCAGAGCTCTTGTTTGACTCTGCTTATTTCCAGTTTCAAATTTATTTGTCTCCTTCTCTCTGTCTCACATCTTCTGAAGGGTTTATTCCCCCTGCCCTGAATATTTCTCTAAGTCTTGCTTCTGGTTTTATTCTTCTGTGCAGTATAATTTTTTCTTTGGCTAATTTTATTCTAGGGTCACAAAGTAGAATGTTCTTTACTGCTGTCTCTATTCTTATCCTACCTTTACAGGGCTGTTGCTGCTGCTGAATAATTAATATTTGCTAAAGTCCACATTGGTAATGTTGAAAAAAGGTTAAAATATGTTAATAAACCTGGGAAAAGTACAGAGGAAAGCATATTGAAATGAGCAATGCTAAAATGCTATTCATATATAATGGAGTACTCTCCTAAAGAAAGTAGATATAAATGGAGATAGATACATAAAACGGATTGTCAGTTTTATGCCTAAATATTCTGTGATTGAACCTCCTCATTCATTCCTGTTTAAAAATATGCTATAAGTTTTCTTAGAAGGTGTACAAAAGATTACAGATTATTTTTGAATGCTGTTTTTATTAGATCTAATGATTTATAGCTAGGTGAATAGGATTATATTCTTCTGTAGGAATAAATTCTTATACTGTATTCTGGTAGTGCAGATGGTGATACCATCTACCAGTAACTTGGTAATTAAGAGTTTTACACTGTTAACCCAGCACTTTCTGTCCTTGATAAAATCATTTTTTAAACTATTTTTTTCCATTTCCAGTTCAGGCACAGTTTGCTAAAATACTGCCAGAGGCTGTGGTCTGTATGACTGATTAAATGAACTTCCTAAATATAATTTAAGGCATTAATGATAAATGAGTACTATTTCTACCTGCTCTTTCAGAAGTTTAAGTTGTTTTAAACAATTAAAGTGCCTAAAAAGTCTACCTGGATCCTCCTAGGATCAAGATATTTAGAGAAAAGGCTCTAAATCATCAAGCGAATTTTCCGTTTCTTACATTGCACATATCCTAATGATCTTTCCTAAGTTTTGCTTACTGATTTCTCTAAAAGACAGACTCTTTCTCAGATCATTTCAATATGAATAGACAGACATAAAAAAAAATCTGTGCTTTATCAAAAGATATGTCCCTTGGAATTTATCAAGGGCTATGGTTTTTATGCTGTACTTAATCACAGTTTTTCATCTGAATTAAAAAGCATTATGACTTGGATTTGGGACTGTGCTGGTCTGGTCTCCTGTATAAAGTTTCACTGTGAAAAAAGAATAGTGAGAAACATATGATTTTCTACATAGATATATATGATTTATATATGATTTAAGGAAATTGTTTGTCAGCTCCTTTTGTGGTAAAACCCTTTAGCTTTTGCCTCCCCTTTACTGAAAGCATCTTCTCAGCTGGTAACAATTTGACTAACATCTACTTTTTAATTAAATGTTGCAGCATTTAGGAAGATGCATGCTAATCTGGGCCCCAGATCTGCAGCCCTCAGCTTTACAAGATGCTGCTCCAGCAGGGGCCGTAAAGCTCTCGATAAGAGGGGTAAGGAGCAAGGTGCAGGTCCCACAGCGATAACCTCCTGACTCCAACATTATGGGTCTTTCTACCGGAATTGAGTTCTACATCTTCCTCGATTGGTTATTGTCACAAATGAGTAATGGATGCACCCCGCCTGCGTCCCCAGGTACATGAGCCAGTCCATCAGGCCATCGGGAAGCACAGCTGCCAGCCACGGGGGCAGGCAGATAACAGGCAGACCCCAGGAGAGATGTTAAAGGCGCCACGACCACCGGGACTCCAGGCGAGTACCTGCTGCTCTTCTGAGTAACTACCTGCCTGCAACTACCCCTTCCACCACTTTGCATGGGCATTAATCAAGCTGTTCCCTGGAACTGTTGTAGGAGACCAGATAAGGCGGAACAAACAAATCAAAACCAGGGAAGTGGCTGGAAAATGCACATCATTCAGGCCATGCTTAGGTTATTTTATTTTGTTCTATTATTCAGAGGGGGAAAATGTTTAGGATACCTCATTCGCACTGGAAATTACTGCTACAAAAATACATATACATGCAGACATATTGATATAGTATATAATATATACTATATAACTGGAAGGGCATACACCTTCCAGGTATGGACTGAAGCCAAACCTGAAGGATCTCCCCCTCCCGACATTTAATACAAATTTATTATATATTATATTATTATATAAATTATATAATTATCTATGAAAACATATAATGTACATAATGTATCATATATATACATATACACATATATATGTATATAAAATTAAGCCTTGCAAAATTGTCTAGCAACCTGCTGAGCTGCAAAACGCACTTGTCATTTTTTTTCCTGTCAACAATGATAGCAAAAAAAGTAAGTGGTATTTTAGTAAACTCGTCAGGGAATAGACTCATGCTGACTGAGAAGTAAGTAAGTAAGTAAATAAGACTTGTGTTTTAATTTATCAAGCATGTTTCTTTGAAAGGGGTGTGATTTGCATTGCTATCACTGGTGTAAAGCCTTGACTGGAGGTTTTCTATAGCATACATGATAAAGTGAATTTTTGTTTAACATATCGGGTAAATTTGAAGGTAAGCTCAGTTTCAAAATGCATCTAACTTAGACAAATGGTCCACATGTCCTTCCAGAGGTGGACATTTCTAGTATTTCACTGTCTAATATAATAGTAATATTATCTGTAATTCAGGAAATTCCATTTTGTTATCACGTTAATTGTTGTAATAATAATGATTTGTAATGCAAACCTCAAGAAATTTCCTTTCAAAAGTGTATAATTAGAATCCTCATCAAGGCCAGATTTTCTAAAGAACATAATTTCTGATTAATCAACTCAGTAGATGTTGCTCGAGTTTCCAAAACTGATCAGAAGTCAGTGCCTTAGAGAAAAGCAACAGGACAGTGATGTACCAAGATCCTTCAATATCTAGTCATAACTATTATTGTGTCTATAAGCATAACTATATGTGCAATGCTATATTTCTGTAGGATTTTATTCATCCCATTTGGCAATGCCCAAACTTAATAGAAAGTGTTATAATTTGTCACACAGAAGAAAATGGATATATTATATCGCAGAAAACACACCTGGTATTCCTTTTGATTAAAATGGCAAAGGGATTTTTGGAATATAAGGAAGAAACTCCCGAATAGTCAGGTTTGGTACACATCACAAATTTAGCGGGTATGTATTCTGTGGGAGAGAAGAGGTAATGACAGAGCAGATGGAAAAGCAACCAGGAAAAAGTAAAAGTTCCGTACTACTAGAATGTTGCTTTTGGAACCACAAAATAGTTTATTTATGTCTTTTTTTTTTTCTATGGTGGCTCAGAAGTACTCTGTACATAGGTATTTCCTTAAAGCATTGTTTCAGAATAGCCAAGTGAAGAGAAAGTAATTTTCAAAGCTCTGTAGTTCTTTCAAAGCAGATTATTTACAATAGTTCAGGGTGGAGCTCTCATGAACATATAGGTTATGTTCTGTGCTGTTTTCCCTTATGAGAGTCTCTGTTCAGTTGGTTTTAACTCTGCTGCTCTTTGACTATTTCGATTATTATTTTCTATGCTACATTTTTGCCTGAAACAAAATTGGTTTAGAAAAAAATAATCAGCAAAGATTGTTCAGCATTTTTGGGACTAGGTTTGATGATATAAAAATAGTATTTTGCTAGAAGTGATATTTGTTCAACATTTTATGTAAAAGGTCAAGCATCTCAGAAAAGAGAGATACCACAAACAATAGATATTGCTTTTTCATCATCCTATTCAAACCTCCCCAATCTCATCCAGATTATAAATCCACGGCTTGCTTTCTTTTCACTTGCTTAGTTGAGATTCATTGGGCCTGACAGAATTGCTGGGAAAGGAGACTGATGTTTGAAGCCAGCACTAAGGGCTTTAGGTCCTCCTCCTCACTGCAAGGACCTGTAGCAGGCACACAGACAAGCTTTGCCTCCACAGAGCTCCCTGGGCATGTTAAGAAAGATTTTCCATTTTATAGGCCAAGGAAATATGGGGAAGCTTGTTCACAATTGTTCTCATCCTTTTCCCTAGTGATGTCAAGATTGTAAGAAAAGAAGGAGCATTTTACCTCAGAACATGTATGAGGAGGAGGTAGTTAGTAGTCCACAGAGCCAGGTGGAGTTTTAGAAGAGACGCTGGATATAGTCTGTAGAAAGGCAGAAACACAAAGGATTAATGCAGAGGAAGGGAAACTGTTGCAACATCCCAAAGGGCAAGTATATAAGCTCCCATTAACTTGTGTTTCCACCTACAAGTGTCAAATGCAAGCCTGAACTCATACACTATGGTGGACTGAGAACCCTACAGGGTAATTACTCAAAGGACTGTTAGTCAAGGGTCTGCTAAAGACGAAGTCTGGATACTGGTCACTGCATGTACTAGGAGGAAGGATCCTCCTCCTTCTCAAAGTTTGACAGGTAGGACTGGTACCTTCTACAGCAGGTATGAGGCTCTGGCACTAGAAGGCCAGACAACTGATGAGATGGGCAAAGGTCCTTCTGGGGTAGTGGGGTCCGCTAAAATGACACCAGCTGTACTCTACATCACAACCTCCTCTGTTAAGAGGAAAAGCAAGGTAGCTATAGTAGAAGACTCCCTTCTAAGGGGAACAGACTGGACCCAAGTCACAGGGAAGTCTGCTGTCTCCGAAGGGCTTGGGTAAGGGACATCACTGGAAAACTCTCCAGTCTAGTAAGGCTCTTTGATTACTATCTGCTACTGGTTGTTCAAAATGGCAATGACAAAATAACAATGAGAAGTCTGAGAACAATCAAAAGAGAGTTCAGGGCCCTGGGGTGATTGGTAGAGCGATCAGAGGCACAGGCAGTAATTTCCTCAGTCTTTCCAGTAACAAGAAATAATATTGATAGGAATAGGCAGATCCATCAGGTTGATGAGTGGCTCCGAGGTGTAATTGGAAAAATTTTGGGTTTTTTGACCATGGGATGATCTACTCAACACCTGGTCTACTGACACCTGATGGGATGCATCTATCTCAAAGGGGAAAAAGAATTCTAGTGCAGGAGCCAGGGGAGCTTGTTGACAGAGCTTTAAACTAGCTTGGAAGGGGGAAGGGGACAAACCCAGGCTTTGTCCATCCCATCGCCAGTGATGAGTGATGGGATGGTGTGCCAAAACTTGAGAAAACCAGCACTCAAGGGATCCCTCAATCTGTTTCAGGAGGTATTGTCTACAATGTACCACACCTGAAATGTTTCTCATCAATGCATGCAGCATCAGGAACAAACAAGAGGAGCACAAAGCTTTGGCCCAGTCCCAGAGATTTGACATCTTTGGCATAAGTGAAACCTGGTGGCATGAGTCTTTTGATTGGAGTGCCTTGTTGGATGGTTACAGGCTCTTCAGGAGGGATAGGCAGGGCAGAAAAGGTGAAGGGGTGGCACTGTATGTAATAGAAGGGCTAGAATGTATGGAGCTCACAGCTGGAAATGTCACAGTTGAGAGCCTCTGGGTAAGAATCAAATGGCAAACAGATAATGTGGATGTCATCGTGGGAGTCTGCTATAGACCTCCCAGACAGGATGATGATGCCAACGAATTAATCTTTGAGGAACTACAGGACACTTTCAAGTCAACTGCCCTAGTCCTTATGGGGGACTTCAACTCATCAGAAATTAAATGGGAGTATCACATAGCTGGTTCAACCTCGGCCATAAAATTCCTAAAAAACCTGGATGCCCTTCTTGATCTGCTGCTTGTCAACAGAGTGGATCTTGCGAGCAAAGTGGAGATTGGTGGCCATCTTGGCCACAGCAACCATGAAGTAATCGAGTTTAAAATCCCTGTTGACAGGAGAAAAAGTGCCAGAAAAACCTCAGCTGTGGACATGAGGAGAGCAGATTTCAGGCTGCTCAGGGAATTAGTAAGTAAGGTCCTCTGGAAAAATGTGCTGGGGTCCATCAGTGCCCGTCACTTTTTAAACATCACCTCCTAAGGGCACAGGAGCAGGCAATTCCCAAATGTCAGAAGTCAAGCAGGCAAGTCAGCCAGTTTGGCTGAACAGGGATCTTCTCTTGGAAGTAAGGCATAAAAGGAAAGCACATGCCCAGTGGAAACAAGGTCAAGTGACAAGGTAAGAATACAGGGATGCTGCTTGCTGCAATAGGGAGAATATTCATGTGGCCAAATCTCAGCTGGAGTTGAAGCTGCCAGAAATGTCAGAGACCTTTAAAAAGTGTTTTTTTCAAATATATTAATGGCAATGGGCAGTACAGAAATATCATTGGCCCATTACAGAATGAGGATGGTCACCACACAAACAGGGACAGAGACAAGGCAGAAGTGTTTAACGCTTTCTTTGCCTCTGTCCTCAACATGGATGACAGACCAAAGGGGTCTCAGTGCCCTGAGCTGGAGGACCATGACTGAAAGAATGATCACCTCCTGGTCGACCCTGAAATTGTGTGGGATGTGGTGCTCCAGCTGGATCCCTACAACTCTATAAGCCTGATGATATACATCCAAGAATCCTCAAAGAGCTGGTTGATGTCATTGCAAAACCTCTCTCAATGATTTTTTAGCAGTCTTGGAAACCCAGAGAGGTACCAGCTCACTGGAAGCATTGTCCCAATTTTCAAGAAGAGCAAGAAGGAGGACCCTGGAAACTACAGGCCTGTCAGTCTCACTTCAGTGCCTGGTAAAGTTACGGAGGAGATTATGCTGGGAGGTGTTGAAAAACACCTGAAAGACAACACAGTCATTGGTCACAGCCAGCACGGATTCCCGAGAGGAAAGTCCTGTTTATCCAACCTGGTTTCCTTTTATGACAAGGTAACCCACCTAGCTGATCAAGGGAAGTCAGATGACGTAATCTTTTTGGATTTCAGTAAAGTTTTCAATATTGTCTATCACAGGATTCTTCTGGACAAAATGTCCAGCCCACAGCTGTATAAACACATCATGCAGTGGGTGAGCAAAGAGCTGTATAATCATACTGATATTGATCCAAAATTTTTTGAGTCTTTCCCTTAATTCAGCTATTTTTTAATTTGTGCTTTAAAAAAACAAGCAAAAAAACCCCAAACAAATCCTTCTAAAATCAATCCAGTGAACTGAGTATTGGAAAAGAAACCCCAGAAAACCAGCAGCAGGCCTTACAAAACTTGGAACACTTTTCATCTTTTCCAAATAGTGGAACCCGACTGCTTACTGGACCTACGAGGTAGTTTACGGCTAAGGCTTAAGGCAAATGTTACCTTTTGAACTGAAGGAAAAACAAGCATATAGGGAAAACACAAAATCTACCCTGTTTTGTAAGTATTTTTGCTGATCTCACTGCCTTCCTGCAGAAATTGTTTTTCTAAGCATATGGAATTTTGTTCTGTGTATTGTCTCCGCAAAGTGTGTTTGTTTTAATGTTTGACATATGTGAAATTCAGCTTTACTGGTTATATTACAATCTTGAAATAATAATAATGTTTACCCCTACCATGGATTCACTTTTTAGAGTTTGCAAATGCCTGGGTACTAACCTCTCTGCTGTGCTTGAAGTGCAGCTGCAAAGAAAGTTCTTGTTAGAATTTAAGATGTGAAGATCCATTTCTGCCTAACAATCTCCTACTTCTGCATTCCCTGAAGTGTATCCCATCTGCTTTTGGGAGCTCTCATTGCAATATGCAGTGATTGCAGGATAAGCACACCATTTTCCTGTCAATACTTTCCTATTAGCCTCCTGGATCCATACATCATCGTCTTGCTGGCCTGCAGTTTGCTTATCTTTGTCTCTGAGGCTGCCTTTGATTTATCTCACACCCAGGTTAATGAGGCATGGAGCCCAGGGTGGCTCCAAGGATAATGCACTCCTGTATAAAAATGCTTAAGGAAGGATCAAGTGATAATCCATTCTAGACTAAAAGGCCTAGCTCTTCAACAAATGTTGTATTTCTTAATCACTGAGCTAAGACTGTAATAGCTCCCTGTTAAGCTACTGCCATCAGTAAAACTAAGCCCACTAACTATATGAATTTACAAAAGAACTGAAAATTAGATTTTAATTTGTGTCCCAAAAAATGCAAAAAAAAAAGTTCATTTCTTAGGAACAGTTATCACCATTATTTGACAGTGTTCTTATGCAAAAATAAGTTAGCTTTAATATTTAATTTACAGTAATAGTTTTATATTCCCTCACTGGGACTTATGTTTTTCTAAAGACAAAAATAACAGAAGCTAGAATGTTACTGTGGCAAGGATAAATCAAACTAGCTATTTCAGTAATGGAGGTAATTACAAAGTGTATATATCTGAGATGTACTGAGTGGTTAGGGGTTGTTTAATTAACATAAAAATTTCAATATCATCAGCAAGTGTGTTGGTATCACAAAAGCATTGTTAAAAATGCATCTTAAAATAGTTATGCCTTTCTCTCTTCCTAGATAGTACATAAGACTAATATACATTTACTTCCCATTTCTGCTAATTACCATCTTGCACAGAAATATTTTAATGAAAGCAAGGTGAAGATCCAAGTAAGCTATTAAAGCCTTATTTATTTGTTTATTTTAAAGTGCTCTATCATATTTTTTTGGCTGTTTTGGCTTCTTCTTTTGGTTGTTGTTTTGTTTTGTTATGCATAGTTGACCTTCATATTATGAATCTGCTGCAGGCTCCTGAAGTACAAGTAATGTATAACCATTTAGAATAGCACCAAATAATGGGATCACTCCTATGGGATGCCATGCTCATGTTTTGAAGTAAAAGACACGCACAAGTAAGGCATTCACCAATTGGCCCACCATAGCCCCCAAGGACTTGACCCAGGTAATAAGTCCTTTACTGGTCACTAACCTACATTATTGAGATTTAGTTTGGATTTTGATGACATGACACTGTTAAGGGTTGTTATTGAGATGTAAATGATCTTCTGTTGGGTTATTTAAGACACATGAAGGACCTAGTTTAAAATGGAAATTAGTTATTGATTATTCCAGCAATTAACAAAATAAATTTTAGAACCTGTATTAACATTTTCAGAAGTCTTAAATTATATTTAGCTCAAACTGACCCAAGGATCTAGATTGATTCCTTAGCAATCTTTAGGATGTTTTGAAAAAGGAAAACAAAGGTAAATAAATATTGCTGTGCTCTTATATCTGCTGTAGATCACAGTGGTACGTGATACAGTTGTCTATACAGTTGTACAGTGTGCTCCACAGATTCTTTAGTATTAAAGACAAATTTGGAGCATATATAAAAGTAAAATATCCATCCTGTTTGTTTCATCTTCTTTTTTTGAATATTTTATCATTAGATTAACAGAGTTAATTTTCTTTACTTGCATTTCTTTCATTAGTACTTTGAGTTTCCTCACTTAAAACATCCTGAGATAGGAGGCAGCCTTTTTGGATGCCCATTGTTATTTATAAGCACCGTGTATTGACAGTACAATTATTAACAAAATACATTTTCCTATCTCACCTAAGAGTGTATTACTTTATTGCTACATATTTTAACTAGAAAATGGGCTTCTTGTATTTTTCACATGGAGTAGTGCTAAGAAAGCTTTAGAGGCTGTTACACCCACCCAAAAGGTCACATAGCATGTGCCGCTATGTATTTGGTTTGATGGCAAAAATCAGATAATTCATTATACAAATATATTTTGGAACAAACTCAGCTTAGTCTTCTCTTTTTCTATGCTGCAAGCTCCAGCCAATGAAGGGTATTAGGCACTAAAAAGAGATGCATCCTGTCTTGTTATAATTTTACTGTTTGGGTCCCAGTGATACTTTTATATATAAAATATTTAGGTAGGGAAATGGTACAAGCAGCGCAACTGGACTGCTAGAACTCATTACTTAATGTGCTGTCTGTAGATAGTACCACTGAACTCACTGAAAGTAATACTGCGGTCACGTGATGTCTTTTGTGTTGCTGTATCGTCTCAGGATCCTCCACACCTCTGATAATATTACATGGAAAATTAGCTGCCTACCCACTGCAGTTTGAACAAGGTTTTAAGAAAACTCTTCCACACAGTGATATTTCAGTTTAAAAGTCTCTTTTAAAATTAGCAGCTAATCACAGCAGGACAGCATTTTCTAACATTGACTTTCCTTGAACAATTCCCTCTCTTATGACTTTCCTTGAACAATTCCCTCTCTTATTACATACTTTTTTCCTGCTCTTTCAATTCTGTTATTCAGATACAGGCAAAGTACCCACTGATTTAAAAGAGTTTTATATCCTCTTCTTATGAATCCCTGTCACCAGTTCAATGTCTAAATCACCAGGAATGATACTTAACTACTCTTTCAAGACATGACAGACTGCATTACCTCTCATGT